CTCTATTATTATATTGTATCTTAATGTAATTGGTATTGTGTTTATTTACTTTGTAAGTATAATTATTTTATACAGGACTCTGTTTAAACTAACCTGTGCTTAATTAGATGTTCCTGTTAAAATATTGAACAAAATAAAATAAATTGATCCAGTCTTCTCACGATATGAAACCCAACAATATACATATAGAACTGCTCAAATGGATTAATTAGTTTCCCTGCATTCTCAAGTTTATTCTTATTGATGTATTTTCCAGACCTTTCAAAAGCACAACAGAGCTTTGCTCAAGTGTTAGATAACTTTCGCTTTGAATGCATTGGTGAAGTAGAAACTGATGATGAGATCCKCATTGGTAAGCAATACACCTTGTTATATATTTCACTTACTTTATCTCACCTATGATTGGATTKCAACATTCAGCCAATCATCATTAGCATGTGAACTTTCTAAACATATTATGGACCTTAAGCTGCAGGTGGGTGACAATGTTGTCAAAATTGAGGCACTTGAACCTTCTGTTGTATTATTATTTCATCTATCGTTTGTCTACTTTAGTATTCTACTCAATAGGTACCCCAGTTTTACAGTGAAATGGGGTCTTTTGGGAGCACTTTACTTGAAGTGAAAATCAGCAAAGATTAGCTTATCTCTAGCTGTTCTCTTTACTATGTAACACCAAGACATTTAATTTCTTACTTTCAGCATAAGATGGCAATGTGTTCTGCACAGTGTTTCGTACATTCCAATGAGTGTCTATTGAATAGCGCAATTCGCACTAATGTATGCTTGTATGCAGCTCAAGGTCCCTATTATCAGTAGCTTTTTCTGTAGATAATAAGTTTATTATTATAAGTTCACTCAAGGTCATGTAGGTTTTAAAGCATTTTAAATCTTTATTCTTAGTATCTTTAATAAAACAAATATTGAATGGGGTTTACTAGGTCTGTTTAGTACAGTACAATGTGCCTAGTGGTAAAAGCAGGATAATTCACRTTGCCTGCTTTGGCTGGCTGATTTTGCACATGTGCTGTGCTCTGTTCAACTGTTTAACACACCATACTGAATTCTCAAGCGGGAATACTCAAAAATTTATTGTCATTTTGGTCCTTTAATATTTTCATGTGAATCTTGCACAGAACCAGATGCAGTAGAACCTGAAAATATTGTTAATTTATGAAGAAGCTTAGGTAGTGGCACTAAAATGATAGGTAAATATTATGTTTTATTTATCTAATGTGTTGTCCAGCTGATGCACTCAAAGAATTCGCCTCAGTGATTAAAGTTGTAGAAGAAGAAAGGGCTAGAATGGTAAGCTAGAAATCCAAACTATTTGAATTTGATTGTCGTTAGGGGTGGGGTTGTATATTAAATCAGGAATTTCATAATGTTTTTGAGTAGTTAGTTATAATTAAGTCTGAAGTATCTGGCTGCGATCTGATAGCTTTACAGTGGGTTTCACATTATTTTATCCGATTGTGTTCTTAACTATGTTTGGAAATTCCGAAGGTCGGCCCCRACTTCTGAACTTCAAAGTGAAGTTTGTTATGAACTTCTGAACTTCCTGCTGTAGTTCGGAACTTAGTTCTCACTGAAGTTCAGAACTTAGTAACTTTGGATCTTGACGTTTAGTARAATTTGAAGTTCCGTAATGAATATCTTTAACAACAAGGGCGAGCTCTCCCCCTAGAAGCTAGGTTGAAAATTGTTGATTTGTATCTACAAGGTTAAAAACCAGCGCAAATTGGTTCCGAACTTAACCTATCAAGAAAAACAGTTTTAAAGATTGCCRAACTTCGTAAGGACTGGAAAAATAGAACCAAGACGTGATGGAAGTAGGAATACTATGAGTAGAGTAGCAAGAACCAAGGATGTCTCTGTATATGTCAAATACTGTAAGCAAACAAAGTCAAGCGTGTATGACAAGGATATCCAGAAGCTACTGGTTGAAAATGACGWTTGTTTGTCGCTAAATACTCCATCTCTATCGTTGATTAGCTGTATATTTCAAATAAGGTTATTCTTTCAAGAAAATCCAAGTTGTGGCCAGGGAATCTCTAAAGCCAAACACTCAAACAATTCTAAATCCATTTTCACTAGCCAAGTTCTGAACTTCGGTGAGAACTAAGTTCCGAACTTTGGCGGGAAKTTCAGAAGTTCATAACAAACTTCACTTTGAAGTTCCRAAGTTGGTGCTGAGCTCTGACAGCTGCTGACTTATTCTGAAAGCTCTGTCAATGATTTGGTAGGGACTAGTAAAGCTAATGTTATTAATTTGGTATATTATCAGATCAACCATACCAACTTTCAGCTTATTCAGCCACTAGAGGTTTTTAGGAAAGAGCAGATTGGAGGAGCCAAGGTAAGATGGATGATAGATAGAATAGCTGATAAATTTGTGGACAGTACACCTGTATTGTGTTTTGTCAGTTCTGTAGTGTGACGTGTCATGTGTATTCTTACTGTCTATGATAATGATATGATACATGATGATGATGATGATTATGATTATGATTTTGATGGTAAGGGTGGTACACAATGACGACAGCAACAATGGTGTTGGCATTGATAATAATTATTATTAATAATTATACACAATTATGTTGATGATGATGATGGTTATGGTGATGATACATGATGATGATACATGATGATGATAATGATGATGGTGTTGATGCATGTTGATGATACATGATGATGATACATGATGTTGATACATGTTGATGATACATGATGATGATACATGATGATGGTACATGATGATACATGATGATGATACATGATGATGATAATGATGATG